ATTCTCTGCTTTCAGCCAGGATCCATCTGACATCAGCAATGATATTCCTGGTTCCACGTCCTTTTCTGAATCTGGCTTGAATTTCTATCACTTACCTGTTGATGTACTGCTGCAACTGCTTTTGAATGATCTTCAGCAAAATTTTACTTGCATGTCATATTCATAATATTGTTCGATAATTTCTGCACTTGGTTGGATCACCTTTCTTGGGAATAGGCATAAATATGGATCTCTTCTAGTCGATTGGCCAGGTAGCTGTCTTCCAGATTTCTTGGCATAGACAAGTGAGCACTTCCAGCGCTGCATCTGTGTGTTGAAACATCAGAATTGGTATTCTGTTAATTCTTGGAGACTTGTTTTTCGCCAGTGATCTTCAGTGGAGCTTGGACCTCTTCCTTCAATACCATCAGTTCCTGATCATATGCTACCTGCAGAAATGGCTGGATGTTGACCAATTCTTTTTTTTTTTTTTTTGGCTTCAACAAAGAGAAATTTCTTTCCTCACAGTAAAGTAGGTTAGAAGTCCAAATTCAGTGCGTCAGCTCCAGGGGAAGACTTTCTCTCTCTGTCGACCTTCTCATCAATCTTCCCCCAGACTAGGAGCTTCTCTGTGCAGGGACCCCGGGTCCAAAGGACGCGCTCTGCTCCCAGCACCGCTTTCTTGGTAGTATGAGGTCCCCTACTCTCTGCTTGCTTCCCTTTCCTTTTATCTCTCGAAAGATAAAAGGTGGTGCAGGCCACACCCTAGGGAAACTCCCTTTACATTGGATCAGGGATGTGACCTGGGTAAGGGTGGTGTTACAATCCCACCCGAATCCTCTTTAACATAAAATTACAATCACAAAATGGAAGACAGCCACATAATACTGGGAATCATGGGCCAGCCAAACTGATACATTTTGGGGGGACATAATTCAATCCATGACATTCTACCCTTTGGCCCCCCCAAAAATCACATCCTTGCAGCATGCAAAACATTTCATCCATCATATCATAGCAAGAGTCTTAACTCCAAGTCCAAATTCCAAAAATTCCTCTTCATCTGTGAAATCTAGAATACAAGTTATCTGCTTCCAAAGGTACAACAGCAGAACAGGCACAAGCTAGACATTTCCGTTACAAATGGGAAAAACTGAAGGAAAAGAAGGGATAACAGGCACCAAGCAAGTCAGCAGAACATATTACAATAGTCCTCAAGGCTTTGAAAATAATCCTCTATTCTCTGAGACAATTTACACAATGGCCCTGCCCTCCAGACTCTAGGTATTGGCCACACTCTCCAGATTCTGAGTGGAGGCCTCTTGGCCCTGGGCTTCAGCTCTGCCTTCCAGGCCCACTGGGACAGCAACTCTGCTCCCTCGGCTTTAGGCGCACCATTCTCCTAGTCCATCTGAGTGGCGACTCCACCCTTAGAAACATCAGAGGCCATGGCTCCACCCTTTGAAACCCCAGAGGTCATGGCCATACCTTGTGAGTCTGAGGCAGCTCAGCTTCTTGTATTCCTTGTCTCTTCAGCTTCTGCTTCCTGTGGCCTCGCAGCCCTCAGGCCTCATGCCCACATCTGCTCTGCTGGGACAAGTGTTCCAAAGCTCTGTAGCTCCACCAATAAGTGCCTGGAGGCACCCCACTCCACCAGGAAGCCTCCTGCACACAGGCACTCAGCTCTCTTGCTTCCGTGGGACAGCTCCAGCGCTGTCTCCTGGTTCTGCTGCTGGTTCTCTGCCGCTGCTGCTTCTCTGCTGCTGCAGGTTCTCTGCTGCTGCTGGTCCTCTGCTGCTCCTCTATCTATTCAGTTTCAAAACTGCTTCCACATTTTAGGTATCTGTTAGAGCAGCACCCTGCTCTCTCAGTACTAAATTCTGTCTTAGTTATCTAGTGCTACTATAACAGAAATACCACAAGTGGATGGCTTTAACAAAGAGAAATTTATTTCCTCACAGTAAAGTAGGCTAAAAGTCCAGATTCAGGGTGTCAGCTTCAGGGGAAGCCTTTCTCTCTCTGTCGGCCTTCTCATCAATCTTCCCCCAGACTAGGAGCCTCTCTCTGCAGGGACCCCAGGTCCGAAGGGCTCGCTCTGCTCCGAGCACTGCTTTCTTGTTGGTATGAGGTCCCCCTGATCAATTCTTTTCAGAATAGTGACTCTGTGTATTCCTTCCATCTCCTTTTGATGCTTCCTGTGCCGTTTAAAATTTTCCCTGTAGATCCGTCAATACTGAATTTTTTCTTTAGTTCTTTCAGCTTGACAAATGCCAAGTGTGTTCTTCCCTTTTGGTTTTCTATTTCCAGCTCTTTGTGCATGTCATTATAATACTGTACTTTGTCTTCTCGAGCCTCCCTTTGAAATCTTCTACTCAGCTCTTTTACTTCATCTTTTCTTCCTTTTGCTTTATGTACTTTGACATTCAAGAGCAAGTTTCAGAGTCTCTTCTGACATCAATTTTGGTCTTTTCTTTCTTTCCTGTCTTTTTAATGACCTCTTGGTTTCTTCATATATGATGTCCTTGATGTCATTCCACAACTCGTCTGGTCTTCAGTCATTAGTTTTCAACGTGTCAAATCTATTCCTGAGATGGTCTCTAAATTCAGGTGAGATATACTCAAGGTTGTACTTTGGCTCTCGTGGACTAGTTCTAAATTTCTTCAGTTCCAGCTTGAACTGCATATGAGCAGTTGATGGTCTGTTCTGCAGTCAGCCCCTGGCCTTGTTCTGATTGATGATATTGAGCTTTTCCCTTGTCTCTTTCCACAGATGTAGGTGATTTCATTCCTGTGTATTCCACCTGGCAAGGTTCATGTGTATAGTTGCTGTTTATGTTGGTAAAAAAAGATGTTTGGATTGAAGAAGTCATTGGTCTTGCAAAATTCTATCATGCAATCTCTGGCGTTGTTTCTATTACCAAAGCCATATTTTTTAACTACCGATCCTTCCTCTTTGTTTCTAACTTTTGCATTCCAATCGCCAGTAATTATCAGTGCATCCTGATTGCAGGTTGATCAATTTCAGACTGCAGATGTTGGTAAAAACCTTCAATTTCCTCATCTTTGGCCTTAATGGTTGGTATGTAAATTTGAATAATAGTCGTATTAACTGGTCTTCCTTGTAGACATATGGATATTATCCTATCACTGACAGTGTGGTACTTCAGGATAGATCTTGAAATGTTCTCTTTGATGATGAATGCAATGCCATTTCCTCTTCAAGTTGTTATTGCTGGCATAGTAGACCATACAATTGTGAGATTCAAAATGGCCAATACCAGTCCATTTAAGCTTACTAATGCCTAGGATATTGATGCTTATGCATTCCATTTCATTTTTGATGATTTCCAATTTTCCTAGATTCATACTTCGTACATTCCACTTTCTGATTATTAATGGATGTTTGCAGCTGTTTCTTCTCATTTTGAGTCATGCCATATCCGCAAATGACAGTCCCAAAAGCTTGACTCCATCCACATCATTAAGGTCAACTCTATTTTGAGGAGGCAACTCTTCCCCAGTCGTATTCTGAGTGCCTTCCAACCTGAGGGGCTCATCTTCTGGCACTATATCAGACAAAATGTTCTGCTACTTGCTATTCATAAGGTTTTCACTGGCTAATTCTTTTCAGAAGTAGACTGCTGGGTCCTTTCTCCTAGTCTTAGTCTGGAAGCTCAGCTGAAACCTGTCTGCCATGGGTGACCCAGCTGGTACTTGAATACTGGTGGTGTAGCTTCCAGCATCACAGTAACAGGCAAGCCCCCACAGTACGACAAACTGACAGACACGTGGGGGTTTGTGAGACTGCTAACCCCAATTCATCCAGAAGTTCCAGAGGACTTATCCTGAGGACTCCCATAAGGACTGGATTAATTCCAAAAGAAAGGTCGTTATGAGTCAGAATCGACTGAAAGGCACACAACAACAGAGTGTCCAAAGACACACACACATATATGTACAAACACACTGTTCACTGGCCACAGATCTACAACGAGCAGCTCTGACATTCCACAAACTTGGAACTGTATTGAATATTATTGAATGGAGATTTATGATTTACTGTAGACAAGACCAGAGTTCTGGTAGTGCAGTGGTTAAGAGCTCAGGCCGCTAACCAATAGGTCAACAGTTCGAATCCACCAGCCCCTCCTTAGAAACTGTATGGGGGAGTTCTACTCTGTCCTATAGGGTCACTATGAGTTGGAAGTGACTTGAGAGCAACAGGCTTGGTTTTCGGTTTTGATATAGACAAGACAAGGAACCCTGGTGGCGCAGTGCTTAAGCCCTTGGCTACTAAGCCAAAGGTTGGTGGTTCAAACCCACCAGCTGCTCTGCAGGAGAAAGATGTGGCAGTCTGCTTCGTAAAGATTACAGCCTTGGAAACCCTATGGGGCAGTTCTACTCTGTCCTATAGGGTCGCTATGAGTTGGAATCAACTGGACGGCAACAGGTTTGGTTTTACAGACAAAACTAATAGATACAACAGACAATCAACTATTTTGAAGTCTTGTATACACATGAAGATGTCTGGAAAGGCAGCAATCTTGTTATCTGCTAAGGCCTCTTGGAGAAGATCTAGAGAGGACTTTGAATGATGAGAAAGATATACAGTACTTAATAAATTTGTGGCCAAAAGTGTTGGCAGGGATGAAACAAATCAACCTGAATGGATCAGGAAGTTGTTAGTTGCCATTCAATGGATCCCAAGTCTTAGCGGCCCCATGTGTGCAGAGTAGAACTGCTTCAGAGGGTTTTCAAAGCTGTGACCTTTCCAAAGCAGATTGCCAGCCCTTACTTCCAAGCAGCCTCTGGATTGGGTTTGAACTGCCAACCTTTCAATTAGTAGTTCAGGGCTTAACCATTTGTGCCCCCAGGGACCTGAGTAGGAAGTATTCCCCTCAAATATAAGATATGCTGAAGTAAATTTATGTATTGCTTTAAAACCGAAAATCTTAAGGGCACAATTAAGATTTTCGTACCGTTGGTTGTGGGAAGCAATAGGAATGTAATTTTTAGCTTTTCCCGCTAGCTTTTTAAGGTGCAAGACAATATCAATATTCTATCATGGTTAATTTGCTTTCAATAAAACCTTGATTAAAAAATATTCAAGGAAGTAGCACTTACTGAGCTTAAGTCAGCTTTTGCCTAAATAACACAGCCGTCTTTTAAAATGAGATTGATAAATGCGGAGATGAACAAGAAGCCACCGGAAGGATTGTGATGGAGAGTAGGTCCTAAAAACATGCTTATCCATTGGTTTCGTGTCGGTACACTGGAATTCATGGAATAAATGTGTGACATTAGGAACGGTATGGCAATTTCAGATTACAAGAGAGTTGTTAAAAAATATGGTCTTTAGAAATGAGGTAGTTAGCTCAATGTAAGTACACAGATGGACACATACGGGGCTCTCTCCTGTCAGCTTTAGGTAGCGCGCACCGGAATATGAAATGCTTTTGCAAGGGGCACGAGGGGTTTCGACTGAACGTTAAGTCGTCAGAAACTCAATTAGCATACTGCTGCATCTTTAGTGAATGTGCAGCAGAAGACGGCGTGGAAACTGCCTCTCACCAGCAACGTCAGCATGGTGAGGGTGCAAAGAAGCCGATCCCCTCCGCCGCGCGCGAAGCACCCAGCAGACGGCTGCGGACGTACGGGGAGTAGGTGGGGCGCCCTTCGAGCCCGCCCAGCAGCAGGCACCTCCCACCCTCGAGCTGCTCGCCCTTGAGCCGCAGGGCCCGCCTGAGTATTGTCGGTGTCGCGGAACGCAGGATGACGTGAGGAGAGAGTCGCGAACATCTCCTCGGGGCGCAGCTCGACCGCCCACTCCAGGGCCCCGGAGCCCAACGTGTGCAGAAGCGTTTCTCGGAGCTCCTCTCCCACCGATCCCTCATCCTCCTCTCGGGCTGGGCCGCCCCCCGCGCGGCCCCTGCGGCTCCTGGCACGGCCCCGCGCTCGGCTGCTGCCCTGGCGCGCGCCACCCTGTCGTCCCCGGACGGGCGCGGACCCGCTCGGCCCTGGCGCCGGCGGCTGGGAAGGGGTCGCTGGCCCCGGGGCCGCGCATGCGCCGCCACCACCTTGGGGCTGTCAGTGGAGGGCGAGTGCTGGTTCCGAGGGGAGACGACACCCTTCGGGGCCAACGGGCCGCGCTCCGAGGCGGCCGTGGGAACGACTCATCCCTTTTCCAGCCGTGGGGCGGGGCTGGGGTCGGGGTCGGGGCCGGTGGGGGCCCTGCCCCCGTCCCCTGGCCTGCCCCCGTCATGGGCCGCGATGATGGCGGCCCTGTACCCGAGCACGGACTTCTCGGGCGCCTCCTCCTCCTCCCTGCCGTCCTCCCCACCCTCTTCTTGGTCGCCGAACAAGGTGATGGCGCTGAAGGATGTGCGGGAGGTGAAGGAGGAGAACACCCTGAATGAGAAGCTTTTCTTGCTGGCGTGCGACAAGGGTGAGAGCTAGGCCCCTTTCCCCGTCTTCTGGATGCCCCTGCCCTGCACACCCTTCGTCCTCTCCCCTACCTCAATTTACTCGCGGCGCGAGCGCTCTTTCCCACGCGCCGAGCATCCGCTCCCGCCGCGCCTGCTGCCTCACCCGTGCCTCCGCGCCGCCTCTGCCCTGCCACTGCCGGGCTGGCGACCGGGGACCCGCGGCTCTGGCCGTGGCCTCCCCTCGTGCCGTACGATGTTTAGGTAGCACCTCGGGGACCTAGGCACGTGGAGTCTAGCTCCGCCCCTGCCAGTGACCTTGTGAATGCCTTGGTCTACCTCTCGGGACCTCAGTTCTTCTGGGAAGCAAGGAGGTTGTCTCCTTTGTCTGGGACCTTCCAGTCCAGAAATTCCACGACCTTGCCTTAAGGTTCCGTATGTTTATGGGTTCTCACTAGGTTTTGTTTTTCTTTTAAGATTTTACATCTGTTATTTCGCTTGAGCTGCCTGATGCTTAGCCAATAGATGTTCAGTGACTATTGAATGGAATCAGGTATCTCTGTATCATAGATGCAGATACATGAAATCAGCACAGAACTGGAGAAATTCTACCTTAGTCCCCAAAACTTTCTTCAGACCTATGGAACAGCTTTGATGGTTCGAGTTTTTTATGGGAGAGAGATGCTCCCGAGCCTTCTATGGGAAATGAAGGTAGTGCAAAATAATTACCGGGCAAAAATATGTGGACTCTATTTAGTGTGTTTTCCTTTTTTTAAAAAATCTAGAAATTGATGGCTTTTATGGCCATATTAAAGTCTTCACTGAAGCCTGCCTTCTAGTGATGCCTGTAATAAAGGAAGTGGGAAATTGATTGCCCCAAGACTGCTTTTATTCCTGCTTGTATAAAAGTACTGAAAATTTTCTGTGTCTGAATATATGTGGCTTGCTATACAGTGGGCCATGCTTACTTAGGAAAACTTTGTTTAGAACAATGCAAATTTCCAAAACAAAAACCTAGGGCAGTTTACAATGTGGAAGGATCGACTACAGAGGATTTCTTATTTGTGTGTACACCTGTGCTTTTGCCTATATTTTTAAGAAGTGACAATCTCCCTAACCTCCTTAATGCTTTCAGAATAGGATTTTATTTCCACAACTTTTTGAAAACACGTTAACATATAAATAAGGTCTGCTTTTATATTCTTATTTGTTAAAGTCCACCATGGACACAACTTTGAGTAATCTTGGCAATGTAAAGAAAAATAGAATACATATCTGTAACCTCACAAAAATTATGGTCTGTGGATTATGTAAAATTGTTCAGTATTGCTAGAGTAGCTTGCTTGAGTTCTCTTCCTTCAAAAATTCTCTCCAAGAGGAAGAAGAGAGATTGTGTGTTGTACCAGAATAAGTAAGTAGTTGCTGCATCGGCCCTAGCTCACTGTGCTATGGTTACTTTCAAGCAAACAAAGTATGTCAAGAAAGGGAATTTGATATTCTTGTCAAACTGAGGACAGAGGAGTATCATAATGGAATATGGTTGGACTGGGTACTTGTATGGTGTGTATATTTAGGAATACTGCATCGCATAGTTCAAACAAAAGGGAGTTTTAATATAGCCTATCCAGTAGTGCCAGTATAAACAGTTTGATATTCTTTGTCAGTTTCCCGTTTCATAACATCATTAAGATCCCTGGGAAGATTTGTCTTTTGGGGATGAGGTGGAAGCTAAACATGCATGCTTTTGTTTCCCCTATATAAATTAAAAGTAAAAATTTTTTAAATGAGTGGGATAAAATAGATATTTTCTGTGGTTCAGTATGTTGAAACAAGTTCTCAGCTTAGATTTAGGAAAATGGCATATTTCTTACCCATACTTATGGTATAAATTTACATTAAAAAATAAATTTGAGTTATAGGAATGTATTTTTTGTTTACATGTTTGTATTCACTAATATTGTTAAGCCTTGTTTGTTGTTGTTAAGTGCTGTCGGGTCGGTTCGGACTCATAGCGACCCTATACACAACAGAGCAAAACACTGCCCGGTCCTGAGCCATCCTCACAGTTGTTGCTGTGTTTGAGCCCATTGTTACAACTAACTATTGTGTCAATCCATCTCCTTGAAGGTCTTCCTCTTTTTCGCTTACTTTCTACCTTACCAAGCATGATGTCCTTCTCCAGGGACTGGTCCCTCCTGATAACATGTCCAGATCTGTGAAATGAAGTCTTAACCATCCTCGCTTCTAAGAAGCATTCTGGCTGTACTTCTTCCAAGACAGATTTATTTGTTCTTCTGGCAGTCCATGGTGTATTCAGTATTCCTTGTCAACACCATAATTCAAATACATCAATTCTTCTTCAGTCTTCCTTATTAATTGTCCAGCTTTTGCATGCATATGAGGCAATTGAAAACACAGTGGCTTGGATCAGGCCCACCTTAGTCTTCACGGTGACATCTTTGCTTTTCAACACTTTAAAGAGGTCTATTGCAGCAGATCTCTTTTTCATATAGTCTGCCTTCTTGAATTATTTGCTTAGCATACAGATTGAATAAGTATGGTGAAAGGACAGTCCTGACGCACACCTTTCCTGACTTTAAATCATGCAGTATCCCCCTTGCTCTGTTAGAACAACTGCCTCTTGGTCTATGTACAGGTTCCACATGAGCACAATTAAGTGTTCTGGAATTCCCATTCTTCACAGTGTGATCCATAATTTGCTATGATCCACACAGTGGAATGCTTTTGCATAGTCAGTAAAACACAGGTAAACGTCTTTCTGGTATTCTCTGCTTTCAGCCAAGATCCGTCTGACATCAGCAGTGATATCCCTCATTCCACATCGTCTTCTGAATCCGGCATGAATTTCTGGCAGTTCCCTGTCGATGTACTGCTGCAACCATTTTTTAATTATTTTCAGCAAAATTTTACTTGCATGTGTTATTGATGATATTGTTTGCTAATTTCCTCATTCGGTTGGATCACCTTTCTTTGGAATGGGCAAAAGTATGGATCTCTTCCAGTTAGTTCGCCAGGTAGCTATCTTCCAAATTTCTTGACATAGACAAGTGAGCACTTCCAGCTTTGCGTCTGTTTGTTTAAACATCTCGGTTGATATTCCATCAGTTCCCAGAGCCTTTTTTTAGCCGGTGCCTTCAGTGCAGCTTGGACTTCTTCCTTCAGTACCATCAGTTCCTGATCATATGCTGCCTCCTGAAATGGTTGAACATCGACCGGTTCTTTTTGGTACAATGACTCTGTTATTCCTTCCATCTTTTGATGTTTCCTGCGTCATAATATTTTGCTCATATAATCCTTCAGTATTGCAACTTGAGGCTTGAATTTTTTACTCACTTCTTTCAGCTTGAGAAATACAGAGTTTTAGTTTTTTAGTTTTCTAACTCCAGGTTTTTGCATATTTCATCATAATACTTTACTTTGTCTTCTCAAGCTGCCCTTTGAAATCTTCTGTGCAGCTCTTTTACTTCATCATTTCTTCTGTTTGCTTTACTAAATACTAAACCTTGTTTGGTATTACCCAGAACACATCTAAAAGTGAAACGTTTTCTGAAGTAGCAGTAACGTCCACTATTATATTGGAACCTTCATCAAACCAAATGACAAGCATTTACTAAAACAGAGACTGGGGTAGAGTGTGTGCGCTTTTCAAAGATAATTTCAGTTAATCCTCACGACCTCATGAACCAGATTTGTTCTTGTCTCCATTTTACAGATGAACAAAATGAGGCTTAGCAAAAATTTTAAGTTAATATGCCCAAGGTTACATTACTTAGGAAGCGGTAGAACTGGGATCTGTCTTGAGCCTACATTCTTAAACACTATGTTTTATTGATCTGGTTGTAGTTAAATGAATGAAAATCATTTGTGTTAGGAAAGACACATCCACATTTAGAGTTACTAGTTCAAAATTAACTTGCTTTCTATGAATGTTTTATAAACTTTAATTTCTGTGTATTAAAGTTATCCAATGAAGGTAAAAAGCATGCATGGTATTTCAGTAGCACCAGAGAAAATCCACTCTACAACATCTGTGTTTCTTATCCTTTTCATTTAGCAACTTTTTCTATGTACCACATTTAGGGAAAATTCCTAAAGCAAAGATTGTGGAAAAGGTGGTTATGTGTAAGTGAATGGATGGACCTTTGAACGGTGTGTACAGATTAAGGAGTAAAGGGAAAAAAAAATGAAAGAAAAGGAAAAGATTTTATAGTTTGTAATAACTGGCTTTTATGTTAATAAATTCAATAGATCTAGACAAGTATTGGAGCCCTGGTGGCAGAGTGATTAATAGCTTGGCTGCTAACCAAAAGGTCAGCAGTTTGAATCCACCAGCCGCTCCTTGGAAACCCTGTGAGACAGTTCTCTGTCCAACAGGGTTGCTATGAGTCGGAATCAATTCGACGGAAACGGGTTTGGAGGCAAGTGTTGGAGTTCCTGGGTGGCGCAGACTGTTAAGAGCTACATTACTAACCAAAAAGTTGGTGGTTTAAATGCATCCAGAGGTACCTTGGAGGAAAGACTTGGTGATCTACTTCCAAAAGATCATAGCCGTTGAAAACCTTAGAGAGTGAAGTTCTCCTCTGAAAAACATGGGCTCACCGTGAGTCGGATCGACCGCAGGGCAACTGGTTTTCGTTGTTGTTGTGAGGCAAGTGTTGATCCAGGCAGTGGCCACTTTTCAGTGACTGTTACTGATCTTTAAAATGGGTCAGGATCATTTCAAAGGTAACATTGGCTGCTCTCTTTGTATAGAATTTAGAAGAAGCGTCAACTAAAAGTTCCCGTGCCAGTGATACACAGTTAAGTCTGGGCCCTCAAGCAAAATTCTCAGAAAGTACACCCATGTTTTTAGACCTAGAAACCATCTGCAATTCAGAGCTGTCTATAAATGTGTTGTTTTATGAAATCTTAAGCAGTGATTCTTACCACCCATGTCTTTTCCCTCTTGCATTGAGAGTGTGATAATGAGCTACTTTTATATACTGGAGCCTGCTGGCTGCAG